CCAAGTTGTACATATTTACTTTCCTGACGTAAGCTGGTTGTGATCTCCTCATAGTCACAGTTTAGTGAATACATCCTGGTCCTTGTCCCCAGTCCAACAATCGCACTCTGGAGTGGCCACTTGTGTTAAGAGTGTGATTGCAGAGAACAACAAGTAGCAAGAGAGGTGAGAACGGACAACAGCTCAATTAGCCGGCCCTAAGAGTGTGATTGCAGAATTAAGTGATCGCTTGAGTCTCCGAAAGGCTGTGTGTACGGCTCTCTGCAATCGTTACTAACACACGACACCAAATACTAATTGTAGTTAATCCCTCAACTTAACGTTTAGTTTAACTTCACAATCTGATATGGGCTCCCTATAAACAAATACAAAGTTGGTTATAAGCACACTGAAAAACATCATTCAGTCTAAACAAATCCGTGAATAATGACTGGTAAGATCATAGCAAACCAGGAAACTGAGTAACGTAACCAGTACCCTCCGAATTGTCTGTGTTTATCATGAAACATGTATTTGTGGTAGAGCTTTACGGGGCATACTGACAGACAAGTCAAGTAACTATGGGGGCTCAGGTTATAAATATACGTTCATATATCTGATATAATTATCAAGCCTCATCGAGACCACTTTATGCAAACTGAATAATTAAGAAAACTGAACAAAGTAAGAAAAAACGTAATTAAAAGGTAGAGTTTTGGCAGATAACGCTTATGCGGCTTGATTTAAAAGAACACTATAGGCACCATAACCACTGCAGCTTAATGCCTTGGTGCCTGTCCCGGCACTGTAAGAGGTGTGAGCTCTGCCATTTTAGAGAATTTCAATGATTGCATTTGTCAGTCAGAAAGCATCGAGTGGCTGTCAATCAATAACTCAGTCCTTCAAACAATCTATAAACCATTAATCAATCACTTCCTACTGAGGACTTTCAATAATTTAAAGACTCCATGTTCGCCGTCTTGACAAAGCAGAACACAGTAATTTTTGCGCACAGAGAAGCTTTGTCATTTTTCTCCATGTCTACACAATCCAATTGGCGATCGCTCGGCATGTGCAGTAGGGCTCTCGATGCTTCTCGATGGAGAAGGATTTGATTGGCCGAGATGTCAGCACAAAGTGGACTTATGGTTGTGGTGAATCTGCGACAGCGCTGAATGAGAGGTGAGCTTTATCTTTTAACCTTGGAAAGATGAGTCCTGAATCTATAAACGCTTGGAAAGGCCTATCCTGCCTTGGAGTGATAAACTGAGGGTGCTGAGCTTATCTGACCTCAGCTAACTCACTCTCAGCACCCTCAGCCATCATTTATACACACATAGCAGAGTGGCTGGGCTCTATCTATCAGCCTCAGGCTAGTCAAACCGCTCGGAAAATGTTTGGCAAGTATCAGGGGACGGCGTGTTGCACTCTTTGCATCATAACTACCTCCATGTTGTAGTGGTTATGGTGCTCAGAATACTCTTTTAAATACATAATACGTTTTATAAAAATGTTTTTTATATCTTCTAAAGCAGTGCTGTACTGAGATGATCAGTTCTGATTGTATCAAGCACACCTGACTGTCAGAAACCTGTCACTCGAACAACGTTGGAAACACATTATTTACGAATACAGACAATATCTCAAAATAACCGTTTGACTGGAATAGGATGGACCCTCGCACTCCTTTTCAAGCAATATTGGGAGGTGCTGCTGTGCTGTCTTGGAAAGTCATACAATTTGGCAACCTCCTCGAGGATTATCTGTTAATACATTCATAAAAATAGCCAGGAATTTCTACCCTTCTTTGAAAGCTCGACTTCCTTAGCCAATGGATCTCGCACTGCCCTGATTACAGTTTTATTATAAGTTTATCCCGAAGGACAAGATGAAACCAACACAAGTGTTTAACATGTCTCTTTGGCAGGGATCAGCAGAGCTGCTTACGATGATTATTTTAGAAGCCCATCTTTCTGAATTTTCCGTGATGTTTCATTTTAGAGAGCGTTGATGAGTCTGCGATCGTCGTGTGGGAGGTAGCTGTAAATAAACAACTAAAAGGAAGATCATTAGTTTAGTGTGTTACAGGAGACTGGAAATAGTAAGCTGACCTCCTGTCACGCTGAAATCTCCATTCTCCTTCCACTGGGTTCATTTTGGCATTTTAGAATCCTCAGTTATTTTCATAGTAAAGTATCACGTTTTGCCCCTTAGTCATCACAAATCAACAAAACGTCCTCTTTTAAGCTTTCATATCCTTTTTTTCTTTGTTTTTCATCTTAATTATTATTGTTATTACCATTATTATTGTGGCAAACCTAGCCACTTGGGACTGCCTAAGATAGAATGGTTGTGCCTATTTTCTGTTGTGTACTGCGCGCCGGTATAGTGTGGCGTCTCCGGCTATGTTTAATTTATGCTGTACTGTGTATGTCTGTTCGAATCCTCCCCATTCGTTAGCATTGCTATTAAAACTGACTAAGTTGTATATTTTGAAGTAGAAAGGTAACGGTTTATGTCCTCGTAGTTTTCATTACTGTATGTTACAGCAGGGGCTGTTGGGAGGAGGACCTGGAAACGGTAGTCTCCCTCCAGTCCCCTCAACCAAAACCCCTGCTGCCCATCTTTGGAAACCCCTGTTGAGTGACCTGCTTTAAATATCAGTTATTTTTAATAAAGTGACAGTTGAGTGACCTGCTTTAAATATCAGTCTTTTTGAATAAAGTGGCAGTTGACTCTCAGACTGTGTTTCGTCTGGTTCTTGGGAGGATTTGGGAATATTGCCTGCTTCCAGCTTTGTACTTGGTTATTGCATTCTACCAGCAGAGATCCTGGGATTATAAAATTGCAGCTCCGCAACAATTATCATCTATTACTATTTCAAAATCTAATTTCATGCATACATTTTCAATGTTCTTTTAATGAACTCTTGCCTAGAATGTCATATTTCATTGCTTTATTAAAGGGACGAGACAGTAGCTGCAATGTGTAGGTAATGTTACATTTAGTTATACCGGGTTTTTAGAACTTCTTTATAATATACATATGTTTAAGAATAATTAGTTCAGCCCTATACAAAAGCTGCGTAAACCTTGGGTTCTTAAAAAACAAAAACAAAAATGCAATTAAAATTTTATTTAGAATTTTGATTATGATTTAAAGGGTCACTCCATTGCCCAAATACACAAAAATAAAATCACTGTTTAGCAGATAGAGCACCAATGAAAACATGCATGTATTTAATTACCGTATGTATTTTTTTAAATTGGGGTATATTTAAAACATACTCATAAGCCAACCCCCGGAGCCGTCAATCAAGCTTCTGGGATTCTGTGTTCAGAACTTCCTGTGTCTTTATCTAAGATATGTATTTGGGCATGAACTTCACACACATATTGTCCTGATCTCGTCTCTTCAGAAAAGGGCAGCACTCTGCCAATCGTGGCACACAGCCTGGTTTACAAACCGTGAACCTTACGATCATAAATGATAAATTTACATCAATGGTGAGCAGTTTATAGAGTACGTCTACGTGTTCTGCTTCCGGGGGATGAAGCTGGACAGGACCTTATGGGAAACGATTAGACCCCTTACACAAATGAGAAGCTCTCTGCTCCACCCGAAGCATAAGTTAGTAACCAAAGTTTTGCCATTTTGTGAAAGGTGAGTTTTTTGAGACTTTAAGTTTTGGTAATTTCATTTTCTGCAGTGTTTCTTAGGGACTTATCTGGCGGATGCATTAACATATGGGGGATGGTTTGTCATTTTTCTTTTAATAAAGTGATAATATTGCACGGCTATCAGACGAATAACCAAGGTGAGAATTTCTTAGAAAATGTGCAGGAAACGTGAGATGATCTAGGGCAATTGAAAAAGTCAGACAATATGATAAAAGAAGAAAAAGGAAATCGTAGTGAGAAAGAGGAAGCCGTGTTGTTTCGGGTGATGAATCAGGCGTGAGATCTCATGATGGTTGAAGCCAGTGACAGGCGGGATTACTCAATATTGCAGATTTTCTTTTTTAGTCGGCAAACCAAGTAACAAATAAAGGCTACATAATTTTTTATATATAAAAATGACTCGGCAGTGAAGGGGTTAATAATTGTGTTAGGAAGAGACGATTTCCAGATTTAATTAATTATATGATAATATAATAAGTATGTTACGCTGATACTGAAAACATCTCATTATTAGTCAGAGATATTTTAAGCCGCATAGTTCCCCAATCGATTATTAAGTTCCTAAATCATTTTACGCATATTATGAATCAAAGCATTGTTCCACCCCCTGATCTTCTCTTTCTAAATATAGATATAACAGCTTTTATCCTATTTCGTTTCTCCCGGATAAAGCATGAACGTGCCTCGTCTTAAATTGTATAACTAGAGCAGATTTACTTAAATAGTGATAATAATATCAGGAGTGAGAATGCATTGCAATCCTTCGCAGCAGATGGGTATTCGAGCTGTCATGTGCTCTGTGAAATTACAAAATTATTCTCCGGTTACAATATAAATACATTGAAATATATTAGACGCCCGGCCATGAATATCTTATTCCAAACAGTCACACAAACACTGCGACACACTTGTTTTACTCCTGAGATAAATGTCATGTTTATTGGAAAAAGAATAACAGCTTGATATATTTATTCACATAGTCTTAACCCGATCTCTCCCATGTATGTTCGTAGTCAGGAATCGTGATGCAGCTTACTAACATAGAACTATCCCAATTCATCCCCCAAATAATGACAGACAACGTAGTATGGATGAAACAGGCCACAGCATTTATTATAACATATGATAATTACTGTATAACACATCCATAATTTATTTTAATATTCTCCTTTCTTTAATGTAACCAAAACGTCAAACATAAATAACCATAACTTAACATATAACTTAACTTCATACAGTGAACCCAACCATCCTTGCCAATACACTGACCATGCGCCTATGTACCACTTCCTCTCACCTCCCCCCTCGGCATAAATTCCTTTTCCTTCCAATGCTTACCACCTGCTGAATTACCTGCTCCGGCATGCCAAGCCTAGAGGCGTCTGTAGCAACCCCTATACGGAATCAATGCCCCCCGAACTCCCTGCTATCAATACCCAGGAATTCGAGCCCCAAGAGGAACAACCTAACGAATTGTAAGTGGGAGAGAAAGCTTCAGTCCTCGCGAACAAAAAGGGGGAGGGGGAGGGAAGTTGGGCATAAGGAACAGTACTCACCGAAGGAAAAAACGGGACAAATGTCGTAACTCGGCACCACCCACAGTCGGACCCACTTACCCCTCCCAAAGACATCAGTCTTCGAGTGGCGAATCCTGAAGGAAATCTGGTCTGCTGTGCAAGTAACATCACCAAAAAGCACCCCCTCACTCGCTGGCGACTAAGGCCCACCAGCTCCCCAATACGCATGGCCCCAAAGAAAGTCAGGTGGAACGGCTAACCAGCTATAGTGAGGGTACCAGCCGTTGGGGACATCCTTTTCTTCACGGCAAGTCGCTGTATAGTGATGGAGCTGCTTATTCTCCTCTGCTGGATCCAAGGTAGAAGTCAGGTACAGCTCTGAAAAGAGCTTAGTGATTATGCTGCAAAATTCCCCTTTCAAGAACGAGACAAGGCTACGTTTTGAAGGGTCAAGAAGAACTAAAGCTTTAATGACAGACACTCTCTTTTATGTGATTCTGCCCATGCAAGGGAGACACCCACATAATTAACAGTACAGCCAATAAACACAATATACATTCCATACATCTCCTCCCCTTAGATTACCACATAACATAATTAAAATGAACATATTTTTCCCCAAAGTTTGGATGTACCCCAAATACTTGGGGTCCAGGCATAAATCCGGTGTCCCCAGATAGCTTTGTTCTGGGGGACAAATATATCCAAAATTCAGCCAATTCGGTTCAGCCGTTCGGGAGATATGGGGCTTGAATATTTTGACCAACCGCACTGCCAAAATAGCGAAAACAGTTCCATGAATCCTGGCCCTGCAGTCGGTCTTAGTTCGTGCGGAAAAAGTCCCAAATGGCTGGCCATGCGTATATAATCTCACGTTCGCTGGAATCCCCATAAGCTGTTAAGTCTTTCTACCGAACGCCCTGTTGTTCGGTAGTTGTAGCACGATTTCCCGCAGTTATGGAGGTCTCAGCGGTGTTCGCCTATTTGAGTGTCCGTTTTTAGTTCCAGACACTCGACGGCAAAACACCGCTGTTCAGGAGTTAAAATGGCCGCGAACACGTGGAAGTTCCGAAATGGCGGCCACCCATACAGTTCGTATAGTGTTTGTGCGTTTCTTTGTACGAAAATCCCCATAGAGCAAGGAGGTAAATGGATCATAATTAGGAATCAAGGTGGCCTGTTATTTGGTAGCAAGCATTCGTATGGCGAATGCTTCCAATGTCCCGAACTGAATAGTAATCCACAGTCTCCCTATGCAGGTTAAGCTGTCCTCTTTGTTTCACCAGGGAAAAGGCCAACCGAAATAGACTGGCAAACCCTAGTTAAAGAGTCACACAGACTGGCCAAGAGAGCGGCTGAGACAGGATGCCTTGAGCCAGAGGTGTAATTAGAAACCACGGGGCCTCTTCGTGAAAATTGCCCTGGATCCCCCCCGTACGTCGAGCCCCGCGAGAACACTCCCCGCCTTAAGCCCCTAAGGGCCTGGGAGACTATAAATGCCTTGGTAGCATCCTCCCGTCCCCGCAACTTGAACATGAAGCTGAGCCCTGCAAAGAAATCACAGAGGGTGGCAACCCTGCAGCCTCCCACACCCCTCAGAGACGTAACAGACCCTGCAGGTGAGCGGGCGAATCCTGGAAACTTACCAGGGGCCACTCCTGTCCCATTCCCTCCTCACCTTACTATAACAGGCCCAAGTTGCCGTAGAGACCGACCCATGGACCAACTCCATCAGTCTGCCAGATCCAGCGATAACATCTCCACCGGGCACGGGACGCCCTCCACTTCGGCCTGTGGAGCCACTGCACGAAACACGTCCCACTGCAAACGAGAGAGAGCATCGGCTATTACATTGCGAACCCCCGGAATATGCTCAGCCCTACAAGACACATTAAGATCCAAACAGGGCAGAACCAAGCGCCGCAGCAAGCGCACCACTGGGGGAGAATATGCGGCTGATTGATAGCCAGCACCACCCCCAGATTGTTGCAATGGGAAACCACCCACCTGTCCACGAGTTGGGGACCCCACACCTCCAAAGCCACCAGAATGGGGAAGAGCTCCAGGAAAGCCAGATTCCATGTGAGCCCCGCCGCATGCCAGCCTATTGGCCATGAGTTAGCACACCATTTAGAGCCCAGGATGGCCCCCCCAAAAATACTGGAGGTCAGTATTAGAGACCTCCGAGCCTGCCAGTACGTTCTACTGTTATAGGAGGCCAAGAAGGAGTCCCAGACAGCCAGGTCATCCTGCAACGGCCGAATAAGCTGAATAAAGTGCTGAGGTCAGGTGACCCTGGACGTCGCCGCTGCCAGACGCCTGTTAAAGATTCGCCCCATGGGCAAAATCCGACAGGCGAAGTACAACTTACCCAGGAGAGACCGCAGGCAGCGCAGCTGAATCTTAAGTCGCCCCAAAGCCAGCAACACCTCTTGCCGGAGGTCTCAAACCTTAGTCGGGGGCAACCAACATTCCCCAGCCACTGAATCAATCTCGATGCCCAGGCACGTAAAGGGACCCACGGTTTTCTCATGTGCCAATGGAACACTGAAACGCTGAAACACGTCCCTAAGAACCCGCAGCAGCAGAGCGCAGACGTGCAACTCCACCGGCCCCACACACAAGAAGTCGTCCAGGTAGTGCAGAAGGGAGTCGACCGCCACTTCCCTCCGCACCACCCACTCCAGGAAAGTGCTAAAGCACTCAAAATAAAAACAGGATAGGGAGCAACCCAGAGGGAGGCACATATCCACATAAAATTAACCATCAAATGCAGGGCTGCCATCAGAAATTTTGGGGCCCCTGACACAGCTCAAGGTCTGGGCCCCCCGGTGCCTGCACCCAAGTCCACCCAAAGTGCTGCCCCCCCCAGTCCGCCCACAGGAATGCAGTGTCTGCAGGGCCGGTGCAAGGATTTTTGCCGCCCTAGGCAAAAGTAAAGTTTGCCGCCCCCCCCATGTGAAATCACAATGCCCCACCCATATGATCTGCCATGTTAACTAACGCCAGTGCTGCAGTGCCGCAGTGCCGCCGTGTTTACATTAAAAGGCCTGCAGGGACAGGCTAGACACCAGAACCACTACATTAAGCTGTAGTGGTTCTGGGGACTATAGTGTCCCTTTAATGTGAGGTAAATTAGAGATTAGTGCACAAATAATATACTAGATTGCCTACTTACAACCAGATGAGGATTATGATGGGCTCTAGCTGCAGTATGGCTCCACTGGTCTGGTGTAGAACAGGCTCTCTGGAGGCATTTTGTAACTGTGGTCACAAAAATCAATGTTTTGGGATCAACGGGAAGCAGCTCCATTTTTTTGAGGGCCCTTTACACAGCTCAAGGTCTGGGTCCCAGGGTCCACCTTCATGTTCCACCAATGAGTTTGTTCACAGAGGGTGGAGTGTGTGTGGGGGGGATGTCCTGATGTTTGTAAGGAATGCATTCTGTGAATCTGTGTTTGTATGTGTAAGGGCTGCAAGGTGAGTTTGTGTATGTATGGGATGCAGTGTGTGCGTCTGTAAGGGATGCATTGAGTGTGTGTAAGGGGTGCATTGTGTGTTGCTGTGTGTAAGGGATGCATTGCTTGTGTATGTGTGTCTGTGTGTAATGCATTGTGTGTTTTTCTGTGTGCAAGGGGTGCATTGTGTGTATGTGTGATGGATGTCAATCTCTCCCCCTTCCCCCGTCGAATTCCTTCTCCCCCTTCCCCCGTCAATTTCCTTCTCCCTCTTTCTCCAATTTCCTTCTTCTCCCCCCTCTCCTTCTTCTCCCCCCTCTCCAATTTCCTTCTTCTCTCCCTCCCTCTACAATTTCCTTCTTCTCCCCCTCCCTCTCCAATTTCCTTCTTCTCCCCTCTCCAATTTCCTTCTTCTCCCCCTCCCTCTACAATTTCCTTCTTCTCCCCCCCTCCAATTTCCTTCTTCTCCCCCTCCCTCTCATTTCCTTCTCCCCTCCCCTCTCCAACTTCCTTCTTCTCCCCCCTCTCCCCAAATCTCTCTTTCCCCAAAAAATTCTTCTTTCTCCCCCTCCCTCCCCTTTTCACTTCTTCCTTCCCCCGCTAAATTTCCTTCCTCTCCCTCCCTCACTCACCCTCCTTCCTCTCCCCTCCCTTAAATTTCCTTCCTCTCTCCCTCCCTTTTAAATTTCCTTCCTCCCCCTCCCTAAATTTCTTTCCTCCCTCCCTCCTTAAATTTCCTTCTCCCTCCCCTTAAATTCTCCTTTTCCTTCCTCCCCTCCTCCTTAAATTTCCTTTCCTCCCCTTTCTCTTAAATTCTCTTTTTCCTCCCTCCCTTTAAATTTTTCCTTCTTCCTCCACTTTCTTCTCATCCCCACTTCTATTCCTCCCTCCCATTCCTCCTTTCTTCTCACCCTCCCATTTCATTCTCCTCCCCTCCCATTTCATTCCTTCTCCTCCCATTTCATTCCTTCTCCCCATCTCTCATTCCTCCCTCCCATTTCATTCCTTTCTCCCCCTCCCATCTCATTCCTAACCCCTCCCATTCCATTCCTTCTCCCTCCCATTTCATTCCTTCTCCCTCCCATTCCTTCTCCTCCCCCCCTCCCATTCCTTCTCCCCCCACCTGATACCCGGCGGCGGGCGGGAGGGCGGGCGCGCGAGGGAGCACTCTCTGTGTGCTTCCTCTTCAGCTCCCTCGCGCACCGTACTGATGCCGGAGCCGGAAGATGACGTCATCTTCCGGCTCCGGCATCAGTACGGTGCGCGAGGGAGCTGAAGAGGAAGCACACAGAGAGTGCTCCCTCGCGCGCCGGTTGGCTTTCAGGGCCAGCCTCTGGGGGGCCCTTCTGGGCCCCCCAGGAGAAGAGGCTGGCCCTGTGGGTACATACCGGGTCACAGGACCCCCTGCGACCAGTATGTACCCACTGCATGTGGGGCCCGGACGACCTGAGCAGTCCGGGCCCCCCAGGACCGCCGGGCCCATGACAACCGTTGCGGTTGTCATGCCCTGATGGCGGCCCTGATCAAATGTACAACCAAGGAGATCATGACAATCTGGGTGCACCGGAAGCAGCCGGAAAGCCGATTTCACATCCGCCTTTGCCAGCAAGGACCACGTACTATGCGAACTGCCACATCGAAGAATGCGTAGGAAACCCGGCAGAGTTCGGCAGAAATGTCATCATTCACCAAACCCCCAGGAGGGTACGATAAATGATGAATCAGGCGATATTTCCCTGGTTCCTTCTTACCTCTAGCCACACTAGGCGATCTGGACACCGACCCACGAGGCAACCCCATGGACAAACTTCGTTCCCGAGACCTACTAGGATAAGCCCGTCGATGCCCACTATCCTTAGGGGACCCTAAGCCGTTCCCTGGGTGCCTGGCTCCCGCCTTTCCACCACCTGCTTGCTGCCCCTGGACCTGCGACCCCTTGGAATGAGGGACGACTCACCAGCTGGAACCACTTCTCCATCCTGACCAACAGCACTCCCAGTGCCTCCATTGCCTGCTGCAGAGCCCGCTGTGGCTGTCCCAGCCTTTCTCCTCCCAGCCATTTGCAGTGATGCTGGCTCATTGTCGCAAATGCGGCCCGAACCTGGTATCCTGACCCGAACTCTCCCTTATCTCGCAACCCGAACGTGCAACATCTTCCCGACCTTCCTGTTCGCAGCCCGAACTGACCTCCTGGTTGTGGACCGAACCGACATCCTGGTTGTGGACTGAACGTTCGGCAGACCTTTTACACACCTGTTCCTGGCCCGAACGTGAACCCGTAGCAGCCTCCTCCTGTTCGCAGCCCGAACATGTTCTCCTACCCAAACGTACACCATCCTCCGTGTTTGTGCCCCGAACGGTCTCCACCTCCAGGCGACTACTGTTCATGGCCCGAACGCTCCTTTCCTTCGCAGCCAGAACGTACGGTTACAGACTCCCAGCAGCCACCGGCCTCGCTTCCAGAGACGGGCTCACCCTCCTCCTCCCGTTGGAGCCAGCGCTAGGGCTCAATAATTGCGAAGGTCTGGTTCTCTGAGTGGGACGACCAGGAAGCACTCCTTCCATTGCTGTGGACCCAGATGCAGAATGCCCAAATGCTTCCCCCAGATGCTCCCAGAGCCAGGAAACACCTATCTGCTGAACAGCAGCACGGACACCAGCCAGCCAATCCTCCATTCTTCCAACAGCAGCACCTGTAAGACACAAGACAGAGACCACACAGTCTGCACAAAACAGGTAAGTGAGGATTAATTAAGATGGCCCCTGACCTAAAATGGCCACTATATATACTCTTCTAATACAGACCCCTCCTCCTGCGTGGAATTAGCCCATTTTTGTTTTTTCTTCATAGTTTTTGGGTCAAGCCGTTAGACAGTCCTGGAAGGTACACCTGGCAAGTTGGATCCTGAGTTTCTTTGGATATTACTTTTTTTTCCCTGTTCTTTGTAATATTTCTGTTTACAATGGCCATTTTCAACGAGCCAATGTAGGCTTGTAGAAGTTCCACTAGAAGGCTGGCACCTGGGTATTTTTCTGATGCTCGTTCTTGGTTCTTGTTCCGCTGTGTTTTCTGGTAAATGCTTTCGTTTCTATAATATTGAGAGGTCACTAAGAGGATTATCAAGGGATTCTGGGAAATCAGCACCAGAATAAGAGAAGGATATTTTGGGACAAACAAGATGGTTTTAGCAGTAACACCCCTCCAGTCTCTTTACAAGTAGATTTCTCCTAATACATCTCATTTCGACCGGAGGAAGTCTTTCCTTACTTAAGTTGACATTTCTCAATTGCACAGCTGTCATTATGGCCTTGATCACTTTGAGATAAAGCTAAATTCTGTTTAATTGTTATATTCAGTGCTGTAAATGTCTGGGAAAACGATTACTGTTAGTAAAAGTCTAAATTAAATATTTAACAAGGTTTAATATTTACATTATTCAAAATATTATCAACAATTTCTTCTATAATGTCTTATATTTAGCTTAACACTTGTAAAAAGATAACTATTTGCTTATAAAAATATATAATATGTAAAATATTTGTTTCTATTACAGAGTGTATATTTTAATTGTATGTTTAACTGTGTGTGTGCCTGTGTATGTGTATGCGGAGTGTGTATAAGTTGTGTATGTGTAAGCAGTGTATGTGTAATTGACTTTAAGTGTACTGTGTGTGTAACTGTGTGTGTGTGTGTGTGTTTGTGTGTGTGTGTAAATCTGTGTGTGTAACCAGTTTATGGGTAAGCAGTGTATTTGTAACTCTGTGTATGTGTAAGTTTTCTATATGTAACTGTGTTTGTAACTGTATGTGTAAGCTGTGTGTGTGTGTGTAACTGTGTGTGTGCAAGCTGTGTATGTGTAAGCAGTGTATGTATAACTGTGTAACTGTGTGTGTAACTGTGTGCATGTGACTGTTAGTTTAACTATGTATGTGTAAGCTGTGTGTGTGAAACGCTGTGTGTGAAATGCTGTGTACGTGTAAGCAATGTATGTGTAACTGTGTATGTGTGTGTGTAACTGTGTGCATGTTCAAGCATGTGACTGTGTAACTGTAACTGTGTAACTGTGTATGTGTAAGATGTGTGTGTGTGTGTGAAACACTGTGTATATGAAACTATGTAAGTGTAAGCAGTGTATGTGTAACTGACTGTGTATGTGTAACAGGGTGCATGGGACTGTGTATGTGTAAGCAGTGTATGCGTAAGCAGTGTATGCATAACTGATTGTGTATGTGTAACTGTGTGCATGTGACTGTTGGTGTAACTGTATGTGTGTAAGCTGTGTGTGTGTGTGTGCGTGTGACTCTGTGTGTGTGTAACTGTGTATGTGTAAGATGTGTGTGTGAAACACTGTGTGTATGAAACTCTGTAAGTGTAAGCAGTGTATGTGTAACTGACTGTGTATGTGTAACTGTGTGCATGTGACTGTGTATGTGTAAGCAGTGTATGCGTAAGCAGTGTATGTGTAACTGACTGTGTATGTGTAACTGTGTGCATGTGACTGTTGGTGTAACTGTATGTGTGTAAGCTGTGTGTGTGTGTGTGCGTGTGACTCTGTGTGTGTGTAACTGTGTATGTGTAAGATGTGTGTGTGAAACACTGTGTGTATGAAACTCTGTAAGTGTAAGCAGTGTATGTGTAACTGACTGTGTATGTGTAACTGTGTGCATGTGACTGTGTATGTGTAAGCAGTGTATGCGTAAGCAGTGTATGTGTAACTGACTGTGTATGTGTAACTGTGTGTATGTTGGTGTAACGGTATGTGTGTAAGCTGTGCAGGGGCGGACTGATCGGTCGGGCACTTCGGACATGGTCCGAGGGCCCGGCCGAGAAAGGGGGCCCGCCGCCCCCACACGCTACAACTTTTACACGGGTTGCTCGTGTCCGACGCGCAATAACTGCACCGTCCTCGAGCCCAGTGGGGCAGCAGTACTTACCAGAAGTACAGGTGGGGCCCGGGGGAGGAGATAGTGAATGTGGCCCAGTGCGTGGAGACGCGCTATGTCACGTATTGACGTGGATGTGCGCCTCCTGCTCGGGCCCCAACGATGGAAGAAAAAAGATCAGGGGTCCCTATATCAGTGCGTCTATGCATTGCTGCTCTGCTGTGAGGAAGTCTCCTCCCTTCTTACAAACAAGCTGCTGGAAGAGAGAGAGGGAGAAGCACCAGAGGAAGGAGAGCCTGACTCCCATCACATTCAGCCAGATGCCACTGGACACCAGGGGAAAAAACCCTCCTGCACCAAAAAGGTATGAAAGCAGGAGGGGTGGTTACTATGTAATGTTATCTGTGTGTCTATGTGTAAGGCTGTGTATTTGTATTATTAGTGTGTTTGTGTATCTGTATGTGTGTTAGTGTGTGTGTGTTTTGTATTGGTATGTATGTTAGTGTGTGTGTGCTTGCATATTGGTATATGTGTTATTGTGTATCTATGTGTGTCTGTATCAGCATGACTGTACCTGTGTATCTGTGAGTGTATATGCATGTGTGTCTGTATCAGCATGACTGTACCTGTGTATCTGTGAGTGTATATGCATGTGTGTCTGTGTAGCTGTGTCAGTGTGTGTCGTTATGTGTGGTTTTTTTATATGGCAGTGTATGTGTGTGTGTGTGTGGCAGTGTATGTGTATATGAGTATACATCTCAGCATTCACACGACAACCCTACAGACAAATACACCCCTACATTCAAACGTCAACACTACATACACACACACCCCTACATTCAAAATCATACACTACACAGTACATAAAAACACACAACACAACATTATACACCTCTAAATTCACACACACATACTCCATACAAGAAAATACTTACAATCCAACATACAAACACTAAATACAACCCTGCAAGGATGGGCAAATGGTAGATCCCCAGCTGGCAAAGTATTGCGCTAGTTGTATGACAGATGGGAATCTACCTTTTTGTCCATCCTTGCAAAGGTGGGGAAAAATTTTTATTTACACCACTGTGTGTCTTTGTATCTGTATGTGTGTCAGTGTGCGTTTGTGTATCTGTATATGTTTGTGTGTGTCTCTGTATCTATATGTATTTGTGTGTCTCTGTGTGTGTCTGTGTATCTGTATGTATGTTAGTGTGCATCTGTGTATCTGTATATGTGTGTGCCTGTGTATTTGTATATGTGTCAGTGTGTGTATCTGTATGTCAGGGTGTGTATCTGTATGTGACCATGTGCTTCTGCGTGTGTGTTAGTGTGCTTCTGACTCTGTCTGTGTGTCAGTGTGTCTGTATGTGTTATTGTGTGTGTGTGTGTGTGTGTGTGTGTGTGTGGCAGTGTATACATCTCAGCATATAAACTCCAACACTTCACACAAATAAACCCCTGCATTCAAACATCAACACTACATACACACACACAGACACATTCAAAAGCTTTAAAATGGTAACAGTACATAACACACTACACACAAATACACCCCTACATTCACACACACATACTGCATTCAAAAACATGCTCACATATAAACATACCCAGTGCTAAGTACAACCCCGCAACGATGGACAAATGGTAGATGCCCAGCTGGCAAAGCATTGTGGGAGTTGTACCCTTTTTTCCATCCTTGCGACAGGGGGTCTCAAAATAATTATTGGACCAGGGCCCTTTCTATTTTAGTTCCACCACTGAGCGCAATGCAGATTATCAACTTAAAAAATGGTACACATATAAAACATTAATTTAGCAATGCAGGGGAATATTTAATCAGAGGCAAACTTAAATATACACGATAGTCACCAGAACAAATATAGCGCTCCATTTGCACTGAAGCTTTCCTGTTATAATCTTATCCCTCTACTGCAGCCCCTATCTCACATGAAGCCCCAAACCACCCAACCCCCACACTACAGTCTCTATCCTTAATGACATACCCTATACCCATACTACATCCCCTATATCAACGCTTCAGCCCCTACCACCTCACTACAGCTCACTACAGCTCCTGTTCTCCCATTAGAGTCCTTGTCTCCCCACTATAGCCCCTATTCCCCCATGACAGCCCTTAAAGGGACACTCCAGGCACCCAGACCACTTCTGTCCATTGGAGTGGTCTGGGTGCCAGCTCCCACTACCCTTAACCCTGCAATTGTAATTATTGCAGTTTTTTTATAAACTGCAGTATTTACATTGCAGGGTTAACTCCTCCTCTAGTGGCTGTCTACTAGACAGCCACTAGAGGGCACTTCCTGGTTTATAGCACAGATGTGAGGACCTCCGGATGCATTGAAAGCATCTTTCCCATAACCTCCCGAGCCCCACACTACTCTCTATCCCCAATTACAACCCCTATAATCCCACTAAAGCGCCTGTTCCCCCATTAGAGCCCTTATTGCCCATGAGAGCCCTTGTATGTACGTAGTGGGGAATCGCGATGCAGCCTAGCACAAATCTAAACCCATTTACCCCCCCAATAACGACAGACCACTTAGTATGGATGAACAGGCCACAGCATTTATTATCACAAACTAAATTACTGCATAACACATCCATAACTTTATTTATTAAATCTCTTCTTTTCTGTAACCAAAACGTTAGACATAAATAAGCATAAATTAACATATATACATATATAACTCCACACATAGTGTTATACAGTGACCCAACCGTCCTTGCCAATAAACATACAGTGGTTCCTAATCACCACTTCGTCTCACCTCCCCCCTCGTCATAAAAATCATATCTTTCCAATGCCCGCCATCAGCCGACCTTATCCACGCTCGATGGGCACGACACCCCAGGTAACCTAATGTTAACCCTTTGAAGCAGGGGAGGTTGAGACCTTAAAAACTTGTTCATCTCATTCCATATACTTAAACGTAACCCCTCAAACTCAATTGGCAAGGACATACCCCCGGGTAGCTGTGACTAAATATACCAATAGGGCGGGCGGGAGGGAAGCTGTTTGCTGGCCTGAATCCCAAGTGGCACTGAGGTAAGACCATCCTCACACTAACTTACACAGAACATAATCCCACCCACACACACATTACCCAAGTCACTCCCCTGCATCTATCCCCACACTCCTACATGTGCCCTTGTCCGCTTAGCTGCGCTATCTCCCCAGGGCCTTATCTGTAACACAAGGATGAACATGTGTGCTGTGTGTGTATGTGGGTGTGATGTATATTTGAGTAGTTTGCAAGTTGGTTTGTACAAGGGGGGCCCATGATCTTTTATTGCCCAGGGGCCCCATGAGTTGTCAGTCCGTCCCTGAAGCTGTGTGTGTGTGTGACTCTGTGTGTGTATGTGTAAGCTGTGTATGTGTAACTGACTGTGTATGTGTAACTGTGGCAATTATTACAATTATTTATATAGCTCCAACATATTCCACAGCGCTGTACAATAGGAAGCAAGACATTTCATTCTAACAATGTTATAAATATGGGAAGAGTAGGTAAACAAGCTCACAATGTAAAGTTACATCCTGCCAGTGAATGGTTGTCGCAGTCCTGGTGATGGCATAGCTGCGAGCATTTTGTTTTGGCATTAATAGACACTCTCTACTTCCCTCGAATGCAGATTCTGTGTTTAAGGTCTGTACCTGTTACCTCGAGAGGACTTTATTCTGATAGGAAGTCATTGTGTTTATTTACGTCTTTCATATCTTTCCTGATGTTCTGTCGGTGTTTGCATGCGCTGGGGATTTCCTGTTTTATTACTCTGCGGTTTTCATAACAGTCTATTCCTTTCCCACCGAATCCTGGGGACAACTTCAGAACAATCACATTAAAGGCAGCAAAATATTGCCTTAAAACCCACATTGCACTTTACATCCTTTGCTAATTCACCCTAATATACCTTATTGTTAAGGGCTCAGAATATTTGCTTTGTAGAAGTGTAGACATTGCTATGGGGGATTTTAGGGCCCTATTTAACCCCAGCGCTTTTCAAGGGAATATTTGTGCACTCCACCTTTAAATACAGTACAGACATATTTACAGCTCTATTTTGTTAGTAGCAGGAAGGCAAGGTTAGTGTGTATCAGTGTATCACAGAGCTCCACATAAATAAAACTCCCAGTAATGTGCAGTGTGTATGTATCATAGAGCTCCCCAGCAATACAACTCCCAGTAATGGAGCCCACGGAGCAGCGCAGTGGGGGAGTGGGCCTTGACAGGGCCAGAGAGTGGGCAGGTGTAAGGGGGTGGGCTTAGGGTAATGCAGCGTGGGGGTGGTCTATGGCTAGTTTAAATAGCGGCCATCTTTGAGAGTGGCCATTTTAATCAGAGCTTCACTCACCTGTTAATTGTGACAGGTCAGCGGAGTTCTTCTTCTTTTCTCGTTTCTGCAGGTCATGGCGTCGCTGGAGAAGATCCTTGCGGGAGTATGGGCAGCGGTGAGAGACTGGGGCCTGGCGTGGATCCATGAACAGCTGGACGCAGCTGCAACTCCTCAAGAGGCACCGGAGCGGAGACCGGCACGGAGCACAAGACCGCCCCAGCGGCTGAGCCCGTGTTTGGTACCCGCAGCTTGACGTCGGTGGAGCCCTTTAGCAGGTGAAAGGTCGGCCACAGGTTCCGGAGATGGAACGGCAGTGAGCCTGGAGTGCGCCTGGCGCCATCGAGCAGGACTGCCGGTCAGGCGAGGATGGTCGCAAAACGGGGGCCGCGAGTGACGAGGGCGCCCCGCGCGATAGCGGCAGGCAGGAAGGTGGGAACGACGGCGTCTTCCAGCACGGCCGGGAAGGCGGCTGGGGCAGATGACAGCCACTTGGTCGGAGGGCAAGGAGAAACATGTCCCGGTGAGTCGGCCACTAAGGGAGCCACTGAGGGACAAAGGGGTGATAGTGCTGCTGGCTCCACGGCACAGGCGGTCCCCCAGATGGTGGCCAGAAGCGGCCGGGGACACCAGCGGTGAGTCCACAACTGCACTACCTTCAGGGACATTCATAGGCTGTTTAAAATCGTTTCTAGAATCAAGGGCTGGGGAGGGGCAGTCACTTAAGTTCGGTAGGGTATGGTCACCAGAGGGCGACCAGGGGGCAGAAGGCAGGCAGGTGGAAACGATAGCTAGGAGAGCTAGTGGCAGGGAGTCGGGAGACGCATCTATGCCTGTGGAGACGCTAGAAGGAGAAGGGGAGCAAGCCGTGGTGTGTGGTGACATATCAGAGGCAGCGCGACAAAATGTGCATGTGTCTTTCGCGGGGCCTCTGGGATGTCACTTGAAGGTCGAGGCTAAAGAAAAAATCTGGAAAGGGGAATTCGTGGAAATATTTTCCCTTCTTCCCCTAGAGAAATTTTTGGACCTAAAAGAAGAGGACAAGAAAGATGCCAAAAAGGAGGAGGAAGAGAAGAGGCGGAGGTAAAAATTACTTAGTATTAGTAAATAATCTGCCCCTACTCGTTATACCGCGAGTAGGGGCATGTCTATTAAACAGTGAGCAGCATGTGACTGCTCACTGTTAAAAAAAAACATGTTAAACTAAAGTGGGGACCTATTGCCCTCCGATCCCCACCCCTGATCGACAGGTGGGGGCCCTAAAGTAAAATAAGGGGGGGGCACCTATTGTCCTCCCCCCGCCCCCACCCGCAGTGGGTGGGGGCCCTAAATTACTTGGCCCCTGTGACAGAACCATCTGTCTGTCTATTGTGGTGGATTCATCTATTTCTGCCCATTCGTGTAAATGGCTGTTTCTATAGCCCAGCCATAAGAATGACTCTTTTTTACCGAACAAATCTACCGAACGGATGGCCACCCAGGATAGAAGGTTGTTAACCTCTTGATCCCAATTAGAACGTTGAGGTTAACCGCAGACACTTCTCAATTAAACCGAATTCAGGGTGGCCGTCGTTCGTATGTCGACCACAAGGCAGCGGCCATTTTAAAACACACACGAAAGACCAGCAGTGTTTTGCACTGATTTCATGGAACTAAAAATTAACACTTTTTCTGCCGAACACCGCTGAAACAACAGGTCGCCTGGCTGCCCCGACGAAAGCATACGAACACCGGCCGTTCGGGAGTTTTACATCACACGAAAAGACTTTACCCAGATAGCCTTCCCATGGAGTCAATCGCATACCGAAAGACTGTAAGGACTTTGACTCCATGGCGATTGAACTATGTGTGTGAGATCTGAGCGCTATTCGCCAATAATATGCCCTCAGATCCAGGCTATCTGGGGATATGTGATACGAATGTGAAATGTTCGGTAGTTGTGAAGTTATCTGTTTTTATGTATTTTCTGGTATTTTATTTAAGATGGCGATTTGTCCTTGTCCTGGAGATAATTGAATTACTTCCCAATTATCTCCAGGGCAGAGGGGAGGAAACCATACTGCATTGTGGGAAAAACTTGTGACTGTATGTCTCTTATGTCCTCATGTCCATCTGTAATTCCAGTCTCCCATTTGGTCCCATAGGGGAGTGTCCACCAAGTGGGAGACCTGCATAAATACGGTCGGGTGGCCCACAGTAAAGCCAGATCCTGTTTGACCCTTAAAGGACCACTACAGTGCCAGGAAAACATACTCGTTTTCCTGGCACTATAGTGCCCTGAGGGTGCCCCCACCCTCAGGGTCCCCCTCCCGCCCGGCTCTGGAAGGGGAAAAGGGGTAAAAACTTACCCTTTTCCAGCGCTGGGCGGGGAGCTCTCCTCCTCCGATCCTCCTCTTCTCCTCCCATGCGGTTCAATGCGCACGCGCGGCAAGAGCTGCGCGCGCATTCAGCCGGTCGCATAGGAAAGCATTTACAATGCTTTCCTATGGACGCTTGCGTGCTCTCACTGTGAAAATCACAGTGAGAAGCACGCAAGCGCCTCTAGTGGCTGTCAATGAGACAGCCACTAGAGGATTAGGGGAAGGCTTAACCCATTAATAAACATAGCAGTTTCTCTGAAACTGCTATGTTTATTAAAAAATGGGTTAACCCTAGCTGGACCAGGCACCCAGACCACTTCATTAAGCTGAAGTGGTCTGGGTGCCTAGAGTGGTCCTTTAATGCGGAGCTTCTGTCTCGTTATTGGGGAGATTTCTTATTGATGCCTAGAGACTGATTATTGGAACCGAAAGCCGCTTGGTGGATATCTTTGTTCGGCGATGAGCGGCGGTTAGTGGATTTCTGTTCGGTAGTTTGGAGCCTTTCACGGATCCCGGTCGGGAGATTACCGCTTCCCCTGATGGTGGTTCGTATACTGCAGTCTATGCGAACAGAGTTACTGATATTGCGAAAGGGGAAGGTTAACTAAACGGCGGTTTCCCTTAAAGACACCAGGGGTGTCTTAACAGCCCCCACCCCTGAGCGGCGGAGGGTGGACCTAAAGTAAAATAAAAGGGGGGGACCTATTGTCTTCCCCCCAACCCCCACCCCTGAGCGGTGGGTGGGGGCCCTAATTTACTTGGGGGTAGCATTTTTATTTAGGGCCCCCACCCACCGCTCAGGGATGGGGGCTGGGTTGGAGGACAATAGGTCCCTCACTTTTATTTTACTTTAGTCCCCCCTCTCAAGTAATTTAGGGTCCCCACCCACCGCTCAGGGCTCGGGAGGCGGGACACAGGTTTATTTTTAGGGGCAGAATGTACTAATACTAAGTAATTTCTACTTAGTATTAGTAAATTTGACTGAAAGACCAATTTAGGTCTTTCAGCCTTTTGGTAGATAGCTCCCTAATACCGAGGGAATTAGGGAGTTATCTACTAAGTGGCTGCAAGAGAACATCCAAAGTGCCGAAATTCCAAAGTCCCAAATTTCCAAATTTCTGAAATTCCAAAGTGCCAAAGTGCTGAACCGAACAAAAGTGCAGAAGTTCCAAAGTTCTGAAGTGCTGAAGTCCAGAATTTTGGAATGCCGAACCGAACCGAATATTTTCCCCGTGCACATCCCTATCGGACACTAAGGGAACTGGAACTTGATTGATTAAAGGTAGGCCCCCCCTTCCTCATTTCTTATACCAGTGGAGTCTCCTGATGTGGGACTCTATACATCACTTTCTCCTATTTCCTGCATATTTTGGATGGTTACCCCCTTATTGGAGCTCCCTATTAGGTAGTGCAGCTCACGAGCCCTTGACTTGAATCCGGACTCCTGCACTTTGTTTACTTTATTTCGCCATTTTGTGTAATAATAATAGTAATAATTATGTCAGTGAAAATGTTTTATTTACTTATGGGATTTTACTTATGGGGTTTGCCCTCCACACCGAGGATGATATTATTCTGGAAATCCTTTAAACACTGCATTTGTAACTCAATAAAAACACTTGGTTGGAAGTCCTCGTACAATATAATTACCTACGGAAATATCACAGTCATTTAGTGACTTTCTCTCACCCGTAACGAGTCACTGATGATCCGTTTCATCTCGATGCAGCCTTCATTTTTCAAGGATTAGATTTTGGCTTTGTGGCTAGCAGGAGCTGGAGGTATGTTGCCCAATTACATTAAAAAAACAATTATAGTTAAAGCTTAGCCACAGAGGTATTACTAAGCTTTGTGTGATTGGAAGCCGCTATGGTCTGGCCATGACACTAAGACAATTAAATCTGCCTTCAGTAGGCTGAATTGCAACATACAACATGTTTAATGCCCATTATTGTAAGAGCAGGTCCATTTATAGGAACCCACAGTCTGCGTCCGTCTCCGGTGAGTGGAAAGGTAGAAAGTTTGAGGAGGCACAAAGCATCCACTTTAACCCAGGAAATAAAGCCTAATTAATTAGAAGAAATTGTGTTGCCCTGGGATGAATCATTGTAGCCGGTCAATATGGGATTCCTTCATGAGATACTGATTGTAAAATGAATCCGACAGCCATTACCAAACTTTATGACAAGCATTTTATTGTCTTCATTATGATAAAACGCTGGGTTGACCATTCTGGAAAGAGGGACAAAGACCATGAGATTAATCAGGGGAATTAACCAACAGAGCTATATTACCAGTTTTAGGGATGTGTGTATTTCTGTGACTGTGTTAGTGTGTCTGTGAATGAGTGCCAGTATGTGTCTGTGATTGTGTGTTAGTGTGTGTCTGTGACTGCATGTTAGTGTGTATCTGTGTATGCATGTTAGTGTTTTGTTAGTGTGT